CCGAGGTGGATGGCCTTGTGGGACTGGTGTTGTATGGAGAAAGGTTGGGACTGGAAAAGTTCACATCGGCATGTGTTATATATAATATATATATACATATATATATATACATATTTGTATATATAATATATATCAGCAACCTTCCACAGGTCCTGAGTCCTGTGACTTTTAAAAGTTTGTTTTCCAAAAAGAGGAGACCGAGAATGGAGATTAGAGGGTGATAGACGGTGTTCCCGGCGGTGGGATGTTTGTTGACTTGGTGAAAGCTTCTCCGTCCAACATGTTTTTGTTCGGCACTACTCAGCTCCAGGAAGTGGTGCAGCAAAACTAGTAGCTGGAATGAATGATGTTCTTCTCACGTGAGAACACATTCATCTAGGTAGTCCTTTAGACAGGCTGACACCTAGATAGTCCGTCCAATTTCAGAGCGCTTCGCTTGGATTTCGGAGAGGCTCAAGGGTTCTGACGTGTGACGGTTTACAAACTCAGGATCTCGGCACGAAGGCAGCGACACGCGGAGTTCCAAGGGCGTGTTCTCACGCGACGCGGAATTTCACGGACCTTTTGCTTCGGCAAAGCTCTGGACCAAGGCATGAGGACAGCTCAACTGATCCACCCCCCTGGCAGGTTCCCTCTCCCATTCTATCACAGTGATGGCAACGAGGGAAACTTGAAACACTTCATCCCATACGGCAAGTAGAGGGACGAATACCGAAGCGCTGTTCAATTCCGTGTCACACTCCATAGTTGACCACATTGGGGCTTCGCAGTGGCATGGGGTTTGATGGTGTCATAGCGTATATGCAGAGTGTGCTGGAGGAATAAAGAACTGCTGCATCTATCGATCTCAGCATCTCAAGCAGAAGTCGAGGATTCCGTCCATTGATCTCAACATCTCAAGCAGAAGTTGAGGATTGGCACTAAGCACGAAGGCAGGCACGTGCGTGGCGTTTTTTCTGGCTGCACACAACTGAATTGTGTTGAACCTCCAACCTAGAAGCGATGGCCCCCAACCTATAGGAGCGATGGCCTCCAACCTAGGAACGATGGCCTCCAACCTAATAGCGATGGCCTCCAACCTATAGAACCTATAGGAGCGATGGCCTCCAACCTAGTAGCGATGGCCTCCAACCTAATAGCGATGGCCTCCAACCCAATAGCAATGGCCACTGCAATGGCCTTGAACCGAATAGCATTCTAGTATAGATAGAATCTGTCAACAAATGGTTTTATGGTTTTACTGCCACCAGGAGCACGAACGTCGTCAGGTCTACTCCAGGAATCTCCAATGATGGCTACCACCCGCCTAAACACCTCCCTCTTCGCCACTGCCCACTGTGTTCATGATCAACATCCGCCGGGTCCGGCACCCTACAACGAAACCAAAAAAAACAGTGGATCCATCGCGACAGAAGGTAGATGAAGCCTAGATGCACATGCAGTCACCCACCTCAAAAGTCTGCAGGAATGCGGAAAAATCATTAAACACAATCCAATTTTGCACCCAGCTTGAATCTCCAGCCCCAATCATAACCGGTTCATGAGTTCTTGGTGCAAACACATGTCCTCCCAATGGAAAAACATGTGTGTGTGTGTGTCTGCGGCAGGCCACGACAGATGTCTTCGCAAACATGGTAACTCCAAGGACAAGCGTGGTCGGAAAATTTTGAAAAACCCATGGGACTGGGGTCACTGGGATCTTTTGGAGGAATTGTATCATTTCGGTCTATCCCATTGCTAGGGACCAGTGGATGATGATGGGGCCTGGTTGCAGGCCTTTCCATCCATCTCTAGTGATGTTCGGCCAGCGGATCCCGATAGGTTCAGACAGACCCAAAGTAAGTTCGGCCAGCCATGGCCCGACCCATTCCCAGAGGGTCCAGGTACCTATTTAAATAGGATGGCCTAGTAAATACAGTAGGAACAAACTCTGTGAGAAGTGAAGCGTTGCAGGTAATAGATGGTAATAGCGCAATCCGTGGAACTGTTACAGGCAATAGGACAAACCCTCTTCGCAAAAAATAGACATTTATACTGAGGTCTAGTGACTTCGGACTTACGGGTCTAGTGACACTAGTGACATAGTCGGCTGGGATAGCCAATTTTGAGGTACAGCTCCGTGAACTCATTAGTCCTTAGCCTCCAGTCTACAGTAACTCTTCCAGTCCCATCGAGTTAGAAAACTCACTGTCCTCGGCTCTCTCTCTGTCTGCGAGAGTCTCGTGTCGAAGGAAGGCGTTGGATGGGTGATGTCACTGGCGTGCGGCGTGAGCAAACACCAATCAACGATGAATACCTGTAATGACCTATTAATTGACTCTCCTTTAAGACTATAAGTGGTGGCACTAGGTGATCCATACGTTTTTTCATTAGGAGTGATACCTGGAGACATTGGGGTTCTGGTTCGTCTGAGGTGCTTGGTGAGGTCTCCAGTTGTTGGCATGACTTTCGAAAGGTAGTCGTTACCTGAAAAGTTCGGTAGGTGACACGTTCCCTTCCCAATGAACGATGTACGTTGAGAAATCACCGGCTGAAGTGCTGAAGTGGCAATCCGTGGTTGTACGGGATGAGCTTTGGTCCAGCAACTCTTCAGGAAGCCCCGGCCGGAGCAGTCGTGTTCAAACCACGTCTGCAGTTGAAAACAATGCTCGGAGCCATGTACAAATTCAACAAACATTGGCAATGGAAGAAAACACCTGTTGCTGTCCAATATGTGTTTGTCATGTCCTCTGCCTTCTCGGGAACCAAAAGTGTATTGCTTGCTGCACGGTTGATTCAAGTACGGGGGGGCATGGCTGGTTGAACACGTTCTCCACGGTACAACCAAAGCACCACATCTACAGGCTTGATGTTGTGATTAGAATGAAGCGAGTATTCGTGACCCCTACCCCCTCAATAAACAAAAAATAGAAACATTTGAAGGACCTACCTACCACCTGTTTTCCCAGGCCTATGCATGCCAACAAAATCAATTGAGGGGCCGACCCCCCTGATGTTTTTTGCCTGGTTTGGAGTGTGGTGGCTGCTTTCCTGCTTGGTTTTCATGCGGTGGCCACTTTCCTGCCTGGCTTTTAGTGTGGTGGCTACGTTCCTGCCTGGCTTTCAGTGTGGTGGCTGATACAAGCTATAGAATCCCCCGTGATGTTGGTACCTTAAGTACCCCTGTCACCTATCTACAGAAAAATGTTCCCAACACATGTTCTTCACTCATCCATTCGTGCTTAAGCACCAGCAAGTTGATGGCCTGGCCTATATAACTTATATAGCTCATCTTGATTCTTAATTGAGGGGTGTGCAACCTCTCCACCACCTCGTGATTATTTCTCAAGTAGACATGACCCTAGCTTGATCCAAGGTACACTGGGAACATGCCAATTAACTATTTATCCGACTTAGGTGTTTACCAAAATGTTCGACAAATTGTCGGAGAAGAGAAACATAATTGAGAAACATTGATTCATAGGACCCCCCCTTCAATTTACTTTTTTGGTGGAGGGTGATGTACCATCAGCCCTTCATGTCAAGTGCAGGGAGAGCTTTGCCGGGCTCCAAAGAAACGGGGTTGACTCGTGTTTGCGAACATCTGCGAGCATGCCTGGCACAACCACATTCATCATTCTGGTCTCTTTTCGGTGTCCCGGCCGGAACTTCTGTTAGTCTTCATCCCATGGCGGTCGAAGAAGTGATTGGTCACATCGCCAACTTTGGATGAGCCATTAAGCATATGCTTGCCTAGAGTGGTTGCACCTTTCTTGAGCATCAGCCCATACCAAGTGGGGTTTGAGTAATTACAAGGGACCGAGAATCACCCCCAGGAAAAAACACAGGAAGTTAATGTAATGCAAGCAACTATTCTACTGCACCTGCCTGTACCAATGATTCATTGGGGAAAGTCTACAGAGCCTCAGGGCATCAAGGAGTTCTTTCTTTTGACCCGATGACCTGAGACGTGGTCCATGTCCACGTGGACTGCTGAGACGTTGCGACGTCACCAGGTCTGACCATCCAATCCTTCCGCGGTCATCCGGAACCCGTTTTGGCCAGACGTGAGAATTGCAGGTGTGATCTGAAGACTCGCAGGTGGCAGGTGTATGAGGGTTTTTGTGAGATGGCAGGGGACCACAGGAATAGAAGCACACAGTGTTTGGAATTGACCACCAAACAACAGGGACTAAAGGGGATCTGGGGCATTTCTTAGTGGCATTGGATCCACAAACTTGGTCCAATTTCATCCCAAAACAAACCTGGTGATGTGGAGTCCCAAAGGTCTTCGCTTTTTTAGCCCCTTCTTCCGCCTGTCCCTCCGCTGGGTAGCTCGCACATAGGAGGGTCCTCTTGGTGCTCTTGGTCCGCGTTCGATGCGTGGGTGCTAGCGTGGGCGCCAGGTGCGAAGCTGACTGCCCAAAAAGGGAAACCCAAGCAGAACGCATCAGGTTCACCTTCAGAACACGGGGGTAGGGTTGGTGATCCACTGACTCGGTAGGAACAGCTCGGTGTAAAGAACACCAAATGGTCACCCTCCAAAGGGTCCCTGTTCCGGTATCAGAGCACACAGAGACAGGTCAATTCACATGACTTGCAACTGGGAATGAAATAGGTGTGCTGTAGCCCAGAGTTTGCCACTTCGAAGAGGGACGCATGCTCCGAGCACTGTCTTTTTTGTTTTTCAAATGGCTGTTCCTTTCTCCAAAGTCTTTGAGGGGGTTCCCCTCTTTCATCATGTCTCATCACCTAGAAAAGAGCTCCCAATGTCTTGGCCGAGGGTGCAAGAATGGCCCAGCAAAAGACTCAACTTTTGCTGGCCACTTGAATGTCTAAGTGAGAAGGGCCAAGCAAACGACTTTTTTGCTGGCCACCAACGAACTTGATAACTGGGTGTACCTCATACTTGTTACATTTCATCTGTGTGAATTGTTTGTCACAAATCTGGTACGGCCACTCTAGTGTGCATAGAAGCCTTCTGCAAATCCAGGTGTTTCTTTTTTCAAGACCTCATAATTGAAGTGGATTTGAGGTACCAGGTACACTCCATCTGAATTACATCTCCAGGAAGGTTGGAAGTTCCTCACATGCTGAGCTCCAAGTCGATCTTCAAAAGTAACCTCAGCCGCCATCGCCGCGCGAGGTGAGTCACCATGAGGTGAGTCTGAGTCAACACCGGCGGTGAGGCGCGACTCGTCGAACCAGGAGACAGCTTGTCTTTGAAGAAGGGTCCTTCCAAAATAAGGATGAACTTCAAAAATATGTGATAGGATCCCAAAGAGATTCTGATTGCGGTTTAAAGGAATCCTTTCAAGAAACTGCGAGCCAAAACTGTGGTTGTGACATCTTGGAAAACAAGAATGTAATGCAATGTCATTTGGAAGCTCACAACAGCAATTACCAACACAAAAAGAAACACAAATGACTTTCTTTTGGGGGGAAGGCTAGAATATTCCATTAGACATTGTACAATTACAACGACAATTGCAAGTACATTACAATACACAGAAACACACATACACACATAAAATACCTGACATGACATGAGATGACATCACCTTACATTACATTTATACATATATAACTACATACACATTACTACTACATACATACAATTACATACAATCATATATAATTACATACAACTACATACCATGCAATCACACGCAAATACAAACCATTGCATACCATTGCATCACGCCACATTGTATATCACATCATAGTCCATTCCATTTCATACACAGGACCTGTCTGAATCGACGTCCCATGGAACCGTCAGTGAACCCGGGCGGAGCCGTACGGTGGAGCCGTACGGTGGAGCCGTTGGGCGGAGCCGTTCGGCCGATGTTCGCTGCCCAGTCACGTGAGACCTCTTGAGGGTCATCACAGTCCTGAATGGCACGAGCCAGTCGCGAAACTGGAGGCTGACTGGAAGTGAAGTTCATTGAATTATGGAGACCTCAGTTCAGCTACTCAACTACACGGTTGCACATAGTGGAATTTGCAATTGCAATTGACTTTCAACAAGGTAGCAAGCAACTTGAACAAGCCAACCAAAGCGTGTTTTCGATGCCTCAAAAGGCACCATCCAGAGTCAGCTAGTACAGTAGCTGCTGTGTGGCAAACAATGGTGGACTTGGCTCAAATGAACAGAACGGCACAAACCCTTGTACGCTTGAATTGAAACTGTGAGTTGAACAATCAGCACTTGCATGGATAAAAACTTGCCTTGGCTTGTAGGAAAGCTTACCCTATGGGTGACTTGCAAGGCTTAACCACCCTGAGTTCCACAACACCGTGGTTTTAACTGTTTTGCAAAGACTAACGCAGTCGTGGCATCGGCTCAATGTGGTTCTTTGACATACACCCAAACTGGGTCGAGAAAGAGTTGTTTCGCTCAATACTCTTCTAACAGTTGGCACACTTCAATGCATTTCGGCCTAGCTAGGTCACAAGTTGGGTCATAGCTATTATAAACGGTACATGCAGGATATCAACTCCTAGGGATCCAGTCGTACCTTCTCAGAAGATGAGCCAGGAGATTACTTGGCGCCAGACCCGGGTCGTACCTTCCAAAAAGGTGGCGACGTGGATCCTTCAGCTCTGGTCAGACCATCCCAGGTGGCACCGCTTCTTCGAGCAGCGACCTCCCCCGATCCCCATGGAATCCCAAGAGCCGAAGGCATAGAGATGCCCAGCTCCTGCTGGTACCTGGGCGACGAGGGTCCAGGTAACCGGACCTGTGGCACCAGCCGGGCCGGTGGCGGGATCCCAGGTTTTCTTTATACCGAATAAGACGAATTCTGGGCATTGCTTGCGCAGCTCATGTAGAAGAAAAGGGTTAACGGTTACTGTAGATATATATATATATATTGATTATAATCAATCATATAAATATATACATGATAATACATATAAATACATAAAATTATGTGTATATATATATACACGTGGAGTCTGCAATTGCTTGAAGCCTGCAGTTCTTGAAGAACCCTATAGTGCTTTGTCCGCGGGAAAAGCATGCAAAAGAGTTCACCATAGTCTCACCTGTCAGTGCTTAGAAGTTCTCCAGCCATTTCAGGAAGCGTCCACGTCACTGGTCGTTGAGTTTTGCTGTCACTCAGGACTGCCTTGAACTTGGATCTCTGAAAATGCGCCAATAACACCAAAAAACAGTTTACCGGGATATGTCCTAAAAGCTATGTCTGCCTGTCGAACATGCACCCAGCCATACAGCGCCTCTGGTTCAGCATTTGGTTCGGCCATGAGGCATGATCGGGTCGATATGGTGCTCTGTTCTAGCCATGTGGTCCACCGCCAAAGAGTCACTCATGGGCGGCCCGAAGCCGGAAGGTCCTGCCACGCGGACGGAGGGTCGCTGGTGCGGTGCGAAACCGGATGAGATTCACCCAAGTTCACCCAGGTTCACCAAGTGCGAATTGGTTGAATGATCGACAGGGGCCCGGACTTTTCCTGGCTCAGGGAACGGCATGGATATAAATAATCATATGATGCAATTCCTTCCACTCCAAAGTTAAACTACTGTAAGCCATGGCACTACAAAAAAAGGGCTTGCCATGAGCTTCGATTGAATCCACTCTCTATAGGAAGAGCATGGAAGAGCTCACCAAAGCTCACGGTTTCAGTTGAGGCTCCCCCTCAACTTCACCATAATAAGGAAACCAAAACACAAAACCTTAAGTAAAACGACTAGCTCAGGGTGTTTCTGGCGAAACGACGCAGCGTGGTTGTTCTCCACATGGCAAGTCTCACATCTCCGCCTGACTCGAGGTCCCCGCTGCCGGTGGAGTTCGATCGAGGACTGAAACTCGAGGAGCTCCTGGACGGCCTGGCGGAAAGCGGCAGGACATGCGCGGCGAAGTCGGATCGGACGCCAAATGGACGCCAAGCGGGCATGTCTGGGTTTTGGCATTGACTTTTGCTCAATAAATCTCAATAAGGACACGCATGATTTGAGATTAAGGTTGTTGGGATGTTGTTGGGGCTGCGCCAGTGAGTATCACGACGAAGAAGAATTGGGCAGGTTCGTGAGTGAGTGAGTGCGTGGGTTCCTAAGTCGAGGGTAACATGAATGAACAGTGACTTGCCAGGGCATCAATCTTCAAAGTTGAAACAGGCATGCGGCCAAAAATGCACTCAGGTCCAAGGACAATCCACCATTTTGTTGTGTTCTCTTAGAAAACTGGTCGAAGTCCGTGCCTTGGAAGTTCGTTCTAGTGGTGGAACACAGTATGCCCAAAGCAAGGACCAAGCCAGCAGACTTGACAAAAGGTGTTTAGAACTGCAGGTGTCAACTTCTTGATTCCAACTTCTTGACAGAACATCAAGCTTGGTAAATTGCCACAAGCTGGGAATGCTATGGCAAAAACAAACTGCATGACATGACAGAACTTCTTTTGATGGAGCTGCCCTGTCTGTTTCGGTGGTGTGTTTCTCGTCCTTTGCATGCAAACCTTGTTTTCAGTCCTTTTCACATCGCATGTTTCGAGCATCACATCAGTTGTTTCAGCAAATGTTCCACCATCCCGGAGGGTTTGCTCTTAAGGAAAAGAGTTGCAACATGTTGCAAGCAAAGACGTCCCCGTGACGCTATGTGACGTACCCATGACCTCCATTACGGTGAGGTACACCCAAAGCTGCAACCTCAGAGGGGTGAAGCTGAATGCATTTTGATCACCCCAGCTTAGCTGGCAAGTTCGTCGAAATGATGCTGAAGGTTTCCAATGACCTCAAAACCATATGATCGGAAGGCACCGGAGTAGGACTTGGCGGCTCGGTATTGCAATCACTGCAAGGTACTGCAACACACGACATTCTGCAACACAGATGACCCCCGGTCCTGGAAACCCGGGAGATAAAAGATTGAACATCTTTTGAAGCATTTTTTGGCCACATAGTGACTGACTCCCTCGGAAAAGATATATATATATATATTCGTTGTTTCAAGCTGCATCAGTGTCCATCTTCACTGCACGAGTCGGCACAGCCACTGGAGAACTTAGAGACCCGGGCCGGCTTGGGAAGCTTGGAAAGCGAGGCGTCTGACTAGCCGGTCATCGGCTTTTGCTGCAGAGCTTTGCTATGCTTTGCTGTGGAAAGAAGTCAGAGCCCAAACTCTGTGTGAAGTTGAAGGACACCTCGATCGAAGCTCCAAGAATTCCGCGTGCGCGCATCAGATCGAGCTCGTGACTCGTGGCCAAGCTTTTCCGAAAAAACGTGTGCAGCTGCAGGAGGCCAATCACTGTGAAGTGTCAACGCATGGGAATTGTCACCAGCCAATGTGGCTGGTTGACAGATGGAACACAGTGGAACTTGATGACCAAAATTTGTGCACCTCTCAAGATTTCCCAATAGCTTCCCGATCACGGTCGACTCACACATCTTCACACATCCCGATCAGTGTGGGCCACGGTCTTCAGTGGTCAGCACCGGTGTTCGCACACTTTTCGTCACCTTTTGCTTTGACATGGACCACCACTTTTCGTCACGCGGACTTCGTCACAAAATCGCCACGTGTTTGACCACCCGGACAAATGGATGCTCCAAACGGGTGGTGCCCCAAACAGGTGGTGCTCCAAGTGGTGCTCAAGTCTTTCAATTCGTTGCCCCAAACGACGACTGCCGGTGCTCAGTCGGCGGCTGACAAGAGAAAAGGGATCACCCTAGCCGGGGAACAATGCTGCTTGCATCTGCTTGCTCTATGTCGTGGTTACAGCAATCCCTGACAAATATGACACTGGAAAGAAGCACATGAAAACACTTCCCGGCCGTGCTTGATTTAAGATCATAGCAAACAGCAAACATACTCCATGTCCAACCACCAAGCTGTGCACCGTCTCACATGGTCGACGGTTTGTCTCAGCTCTTCCGGCGGAAACCATTCCGCTTCGCAGAGCCGCCAAGCTCTGCCCCGCCTGATCAGCAGGGATTCGATGGAGCCCGAGCGGGATCCGATACGTCCCGAGGTGAAGCCGGCCACTTTGATCTTGGAAGGCATCACCTGGCGGAGTGGTCACCAGAGGACCCGGGTATTTCCCGGACATGAACATACAAGGCAAGGTACTTATACCTGATGGTCAGGCAAGGTACTACCTGACATATAGTCAACCTGGCATCACCCGACACCAGCTGACACGGCAAGAAGAGGTAAGTACTGCCTTCAAGGCATCAAAACGGACGCCTTGGAAGATAGAAATCAGCCAATTATGGCAACACCGTTCTACACCCAGTGGGCGAGTCCCGAAAAAACAAAAATCTACAGTTCCTCCTGAAGATGCGCGTGGCTCCCATGCTCCCACACCGCTGATTCGCTTCGCCGGACCCAAAGAGGCAAAGAATACGAAACCCTGGTCGTCCGTCCTGGGAAGCTCTGGGAGATGGGTAAGCAATAAAGGTCATACACACCGAAGCTACAACCAGTGCTTGGACCTCCCAGGGCGCCACCTGAAACAACCCTGTCGCACCTTCGCAGAAATGATTGTTCTTTAAACATGTTTTTCTTGATTGACACCTGTGCCTGTGTATAATCAATGTGCAGCTTTTCCTCAAACATCTTCAATTTATTCCACTATGATGTATTAAGGCTCCTCCAACATGAAGGTTCTGAAGGGTATGATATAAAATTTAGATTTAGCAGGCGAGCTGCTTGCTTGATAGGTACATATGCGTGTGTGTGGGTGTGTGTGTGTATGTCTCTCTCTCTCTCTCTCTTTAGAGTCCAACTGAAGCGCAATTATATACGTCAAATACTTAAGACTCAGTATCAATCAGAAACCTGCACCCCATGCTCTTCAGATTCCTCCAAGGACCGGCTTTCCCCAACCAAGGTCCCGATCAAAGAGCATCAAAGATCCTTTGGACTCAATCAACTGGTGCTTCCATTCTACTAATTCCTTTGGATCTTTCGAAAGCACGTGGGAAAGCACGTGGGATTCCAGGAAAGTCGCGCTACAGGGACCAGGGAGTGATGTTCTTCCAGCTGCAGTAGTTCCATGCTGTTCCATTCCCACGGTAACCTCCGGTGAACAAGTTGCCTCTGGGGTGCAAAAGACCCCTATCATCCCCTATCTATCATGTTGTCTTGCAGAAACAAGTATGCCGGTCTACAAGTCTAAAAGGCCAACTCAATCTTAAGTGTGCTAAGATTGCCCAAACATTTTGCATATACATCATATATATAATTACCCATCTCCATGAAGGTGTGCTCTTCAAGAACGCAGTTTTCTTCACACTCCCACTCTGTCTCTGTCACTTTCCATGTCACATTCCTACCCTCATCCACCCTCACTGGCACCTCCAATACCAGCCTGTCGAGGCATGACATGATGAGTCTTGCGTCCACTGCGGCCAAATCCTTCATCCGTTCCTCAGTGGGCAGCTCAGCGGGCGGCTCGCCAATCCCGAGGGGTCGCTTGGACAGTCGAATGCCTCGCCATCCGATGCCTGGTGTTTGTTGATTGGTGGAAAGAAATGAAACCAAAGTTACATCAAGACCCTAAGATGCTGAGAAAGTGTCTTGAATCAAGAAAGGTCCCTTTGCGAGACACTGAGTCTATGAATGAGTCTGTGAGTGATCATCACTCATCACTGGTCCTTCATCAATATCTTCAAGTCTTCAAACGCATGTCCTCCAATTAAATGATGATTCGTTGTTCGATGAGAAAACATGTTCATTATGCATCGTCATAGGTGTGAAATGGTGTGAAGGGGCGCGTTCTGCCACACCTCGCGATTCCGCCCTCAATCCTAGTTGGCCACACAAGATGTTCAACCCAGGCTCCGCGGGGCCGCGGGGTCATCTGGTGTCTTTGGCTGGATGGAAGGGTACTTACTTGTTGTTGGCTTTGCCAGCTTTCTCTGGTGAGGCGGCATTAGGCATACGTTGCACTGAAGATAAAAAGTTGTTGTCTCAAAGAAAATGAAGGGAAGAGAATAAATTTGACTCAACTAATAGGACGTGTTGCGAATCTGGAAAGGTGTTTCTATGTCTTCGGAGGCGTGATGAAACACATATTTTGAATGGACTTCTGTGCCGGAAGTTTCTCAACATGGGCTTAGTTGTCTTCTGGCAAAGCACACACCCACTGATACTACGTATATACCAGGCAATTAAGCACCCACACAGATCAACGTTTGCATCTTACTTCTATCCCTCTGTATGGCATTTCAATTTGGGTATATATGTATTGCCATTCTATGATTGTTAAATTGGCGACCCCCGGGTTCAAACTTTATAGAATCAAGGCCTCCATGTTCAAAATGTAACAATAAGACACACAAACAGAAATCACGTCTCTATAGAATCGAAATTCCGAATTGCCAGGGCAATGGTCCAAAAATGACGTCTCCTACTAGCAAGTAGACAGTACCTTGAATACCTTGTTCTTATAGAATCAACGGGGTGCCAGGTCTACATCTACATCCTAACAAATAGGAAACTCCGATGAACAAACATAGATCGTGCGATGACATCTCTGATGACATCTTTAGGGAAAACCCGATGAAGTTGTCCAATGAGTTGACCTTCTTTACAGAAAGTGTTCTCACCGGAAAGTTGTCCGATCGCATCCGCTCGGATTAGAGAAACGTTCAGGACACTTCAATCCGATCAAACAGTTTTCCGCTGAGCAAACCCAATTCCCTCAGGGCTCTAACTACCTCCTTGGTTGGGATGGGTGCCAGAGGGGTCTAACTACTTCTGAGTGAAGATATGGGCCAGGAGCCCTAGGGTTCAGAATGCAATCGTAGATTCGGACCATGTCCAGCGGACATGTCCGAGATTCGGATGCGATCAGAGTTTGCTTCCTCCTACTATGATCGATGATTTGAGTTTGCTCATCAGTTTGAGGTGTGCGGGTCCGTGCATTGCCCCGAATGAGCTGGCACTCGAGGTGACGCGAGGACGCCGCAGGAGGAGAAGGAAGGAAGGAAGGAAGGAAGGAAGGAAGGAAGGAAGGAGTGGCACCTTTGTTAAAACCTAAAGACCCTCACCTGGCAGGTGGGGAACAAGGAAAGGGGCCCTATACCTTCCTTGTTTCATCCTGCCATGGCCGTCTTCTTGAGTCGACTCCACGGTCGGTCACGTGAATCGCCGAGCGTCAATGACGAATTGCTCTTCTACAGAGCCCAAGGTCGATGCGATGGCAAACAACCTGAGCAAATGGCAGGTTTTCTCGCCACGGAAACACTTCGTGACTTCCCACAAACGACCCGCATGGAACTCCACGAAACACTCCGCCTGGTAAATCAATGTTCACTGACGTCATCTCTCCACTTCACCATCTTCCAGTCACTGAACGGGAAGGGATTCGACACAATTTGGGGATTCGATCATGGTCGATTTGGGGATTCGACTGCTCTGGGGGGGAGTACTGTAACAAACCAAATCCGATTCCCTACTGAAAGAAGCTCTCTTTGCTGTCCATATCACCTTGCTTGGTCGGCCATTGGACAGCTCGAACTGTGTAGGTCTTGTTTAGCTTGGACATGACTTTGCATGACGCCCTACCTCCTGTCAAATGCCCTGGAAGCTACTGAAAGTTTCAAACATCAGATGGGAAAACCAATAACTATAGATTAAGATGATCCATGTTCCACTCACTGGTCGTCTCGTCGGACACCGCAAAACTCACCTAATACCGCGTTGAACTCAACAGCACCGTGGACGAGGGGTCATGGAACTCTAACTGCCCTGACTGCCCTGCCGTTCTCCAAGGAGACCAGTCGAACGTCGGGGACAAGTCGTTGGTTCCGATCCGATCGCTCACCGTTCGCCTGCGTCCTCTAAAGTGGTGCCTTCCATCTGCAACACTCAAAACATACACTCCCTAAAATCATGGTGGGAGTGAAGTTCTGTGAAGTTCATCACCCATTTGATCAAATTGGGTATTCGGATTGAACATGGCGAGCCTGTAACAGTGGATGATGGTCAGTACTAGATAGGCCTTTCTCTAAAGTTGAAAGAGGGGTGATCATTGTTTACTGACTGTTCCAGGTCTACTGGGACAGACCGACAGACCCTCCCTCCATGTGCTGGCCTTACCTTCCCCCCATTCTCCAGCGTCTCGTCCACACCCGTCACAGCCACTGCTTGGATAAGACGTCCGCCGGAGGGATGGTTCCCAGCGTCAAGAACGAGTGCTCCGCGTTGCCTACGTGAATCGGACCGCCGTCCACTGCGTGAATCGGTCTTCGGATCGCTTGAGATCGGATCGCCGGTGGATCCGGTGGTGTTCGAAAGGGTTCGCCCGCCCTCGGAGGTTCGTCACATCGGTTCCGGAGAAATGCAGGGGCCCCAAATGCCTAACACTATCGACACTATGACGACTATATGATATATGACCCTCATTGTGATGAGGAATCATCAAGTGAGAATCATGATGCTGTGGTTTCGTTACCCATCACATGAAACATCCAAATGGCGCTTGGCTTGGGCCAAATGGTTTCTACATCTACTGATCCATTCCACCGCGTGCAGACATCGAACTAGAAGAAATATCGATAGACATATCTCTAGAACATTCCTTCCACCAGTTCAGCCCCCCCAAAAATAGAACATATCTCTAATTAGTGACATATCTCCAGCGTGTCTAGTTCCACCAGTTCTCGTGACATATCTCTATAGGCATGCCTTCGCCTTAGACTCTTAGACTGGGTTGGCCACCACCAAAAGCGACCCGACCTCGCCAGACGTGCTCAAGCGACCCTTCCACGCCTCGCCATGCGAAGCGAAAGAGGCCCCACAGCGTCATCCTCGGTGCACCCGTAGAAAGGCCACAGGGGCCACCGAAGCCCGCCAGGCTTGAGTCCCCAGCTGAAAAGATTGGGCAGTTAGATCACATGGAAATCACCTCGTTTTGAATTCCATTGATTTTTTACTGCCTGGTAGAACTTCAAAGCCAAGCCAGTCCTATCGGCTCCTCTACGGGTTTGCCTGGTTTGCTTTCTGATCAGCAACGTTATTTTGTGCAGGTGCAATACTTAGATGGTCTAAAAACGGAACACTAAGCACTTGGAGCATCTGTTTGCTTATCTTCGACTGCTGGGTCAGGAGTTCCTGGATTCCTAACTGATCCTGCCTTTGTGCCCAATCAATCTGCTTAACACATCTGAATCCGTCTGGGTACCTTTCTGCAGACTCTCAGTCACTGCCGTGGGAACGATATGTGGAATTTCATCACTGTCCGTCAGTGTCCACAGTTGCTGAGAACAGGGACGGATGCGAACAACGCGTCACAATGTGCATACCCTCTGGTCGTGGGAGGAGGATTCTGAAAGGAGTGTGACCACCGGTGGTCACAGGGCTGGTCACTTAGAGGACGTTGGAACAGGTGATTCTTAGAGCATTTGGTGATGCCTCTGGCCATGAGGCAAGTCGAGTGTTCTTCTAGGCAACAAAGTTGGAACAAAGGAACGTTGTCTTCCAAAAAGGCCATTTGCGTAGTGAATGACCGGACGACCAGTCGAGTGCCTGTCACGCGACTAACTTGATCGCCCACAACTTCTTCCCTCATACCCGTCATACCTGCCGACTATCCATGACCTGCAGCTGGAGCACCCCAAAGTGACCAGCACAGAGACGCCCGCCATGGCCAAAGCAACCATGCTAAAGATCATCAGAAACAGCCTCACACGGGAAGACTCGACCGTCTCCAAGAGCAGGAACGTCGGCGTTGCACGGCGGGCACATGGCGTTCATGAGCCGCTCGGCGACCTTGTCTACTCTTAGACACATCAATCTGACCCACGGTCAGATTCCACTCAAGCATCACTCTCCAAAGAGCACTGACCCAGTGGTAGATGATTTTGAAGGGTTGCTTGCCTGATCAATCTCAGTGTTTGTGGTACAAGTCTGGCTCCCCCCAAACTAGCCCCTTCATCCCCTCAGCCCAGTTAGAGTCAGCTGCTGGACTGGCAGTGGGTCATCCCCCTGGTTGACCACCGAAAATGAACAGAATAGATCACGGGGAGACTTAGACATACTTAGACTATAGACTAGAGCCATGTCAGAATATATATGGGGATATGTTATATATATCGTACGATCAGTTCAACCCCTCGGTAGAGGACCGTCAACCGAAACCAGTGGGTTTTCGAAGGACTCCCAATACAAATCCAGGATGAGAGATAAGCCAGCCGCCCGTATCAAACCTCGCCTCTAACCGGCAAGACTTAGAAAAAGACAACAAGTGGGTCCAGTAGCTCCGGCCAGGAGTTTCCACCAGCGGAAAACAACAACAGCAGCCTCGTTCGCTCATCTCTCTCTCTCTCTCTCTTATCAGGTCACAGCATATCGTCGCTCATCTCCCTCACATGCATGCCAGCAGTGAGCACCACTAAGATGCAGCCTTGTGAGCGACAACACGGGGCCGGAGGGGCTCCACTCGTCGGAGACACAGGAAGAGTTGAGCCCCTTGTGACTTTGGGCATAGCTTGGCCAAACACAGAGCTCCCAAGACTTTACAAAGTCTGACATTGATATCATATCCATCGGTGACAGACCGATGCACGATAGTAAAAGGCTGACCGTCGCATCAAGTCCACATGATAGCCATATGAGGTGGTATGGGGGAGTAAACGGACCGTAGTCAAGAAAAGCTATACACAAAAACATGCATATCAAAACTGGCTGCTAAACAAAATCGAACAAGGGTTACACATGCATGGTAGGTGCCCTGAAAGAGAGCGGAACATTGATACCTTGGAGCTGATCAACCCCTCGCTCAGCAACCCCAAGCTGGCTTCCAGTTTGAACCTTCCTTGAGGGTCCAAACAAAACCAAGTCTGGTTTGTGGCTT